ACTGTGATGGGAAAGTAAAGTCTAAAACGTACTTTTCACTAATAGAAGTAACTTGTACATTTACAGATATTACACAAAAGTTTTCATCCTTAGGTAGCCTGTATTTTCAAATAATGTATCCGTTATCAAAGAACTTTTGAAACAAACAAACAATTTTGGAGAAAGTCGTATAGGGTGCACGGACCAAAGAGAAAGAGGTTCTTAAAAGTTTTATTTCTTTCGGGATTTATTTGCAAACAAAATCAATAACTTTCTCCTTTTTTGTTCAAAGGAAAAAAAAAACTTTGTTAAAATAACAATTTTTTAGCATTTCCTTTAAGGTCCCTCTAAGTTTATTTTTCCAAACACATGTAGGAAAAGCCAGAATATTACTGACATTGACCTTTATAAGTCTGCTACATAAAAGAGGACTAACAAATGAGTTGGCGTGCGAGATTATGACTTCTCTACGCAAAATTATACCTAGATAGACAGGTATCTTTATAGTGTTAGAAATACATTTGTATATTTTTCTATATCCTTCTACTCTTTTGAAAAATAGGTCTTTCTACAGAACATGTTTCTTTTCGTCCTTAAGCTGTGCGTCGACTCAAAGAGTGAATGTCAATATTTAAAATTGTGCTGCAACGTCAAGGTTTTCCTCTCCTAATTCAGCTTCTCACGTGCAATGTGTTGAAAATAAATTACTACTTCAGCAGGCTTTGTTTTGTAAAAGCGGATTTTTTTCATTTGAAATTAAACAGGTTTTGGAATGAAGAGTATATTATCCAAATTCAACGAGGGCCTTTTCAAAATAAATACAACTGTTACTCACAAAAAAATAGTTTTTAACTGGAAATTTCTTTTGCGCAAATTTTAAATGGTCAAATGAAAATGTGATGCAAAAGATAAAGAAATTTAATTCGCTTATAATTTCAAACAAATAATTTTGATATTATTTACTTATTTGACAACGAGATTTAACTCTATTCACTTAAAAATTATCCTTCAGTATGATTTGTGTCCGTCAAGGAAAAGCGTCTTGAGGTTGTCAGTCCTTATCAGACAAGTAACAATGCTGTTCTTTTCGCTTTCTAACTGTAAGTCAGTACACAAAGATGATATTGATGTTTCGACGTCTTTTATCGCAAAATGAAAATAATCTTCCTGATCGTTTAATAAATTTTGATAGAAAATATATGGCGAAGAGATAATGAAACAAAAAGGCTGAATTTTTTTTCCTCAAATGGGAAACGGTAAAATATAGGAATCCGTGAATAACTCCGAACATTATAAAAACAATTGAAATTCAATCTAAATCAAGCAATTCACTTTAATAAAACCTTGAAAATGGGTTTAAAAAAAAGGAAAACCAAGGAAAAAAATCTAGAAATTAATTTATGACAGAAATATGATAGTTTTTTAGGAACAAAATCAGTTTACTTTTAATGAAATTTTTATGCATTACACTGTATCATTTTATGCCTTTCACATTAGAGTCTTACAGGAGATTTCTATGTCTTCCTTTAGAGATCTAGCTGTCCATCAGCCTGTCTGTTTACTAAAGGGAGAGGATATTTTTGTTTCAAACTGTACAGATTGAAAATAGTGACCTTTCGTAACTTAGCTGTTAATTTTTCAAAAGGGACGGAAATGTTTAACTAACAAAAATTATTTTTAAAATCGCATTATTGCTAGACAGGTTAAAGTTCTGCAAGTGAAAAATTTATCACCAAAATAAATGTTAATATTTCTTAACACAAAAAATTCTAGAAGTTACTAGAACTGTTTAATGTCAAACAATTTACGTTCGTAATAAATTTCAGATTATCTTATTGAGAGTATCTAAGTATTAAACTCAAACAGAAGACAGAGTTGAAATAGTGGAAAATCTCCAAGAAAAAGTTGTGATTGCCTTTGAAAAAGGAAATGCTCTGCTTGTCGGATGTTTAACGATAATTATTTTTACATTTTGATAATTTTTCCCCAAGTATAATCCTCTTTTATCATGTCATCTTTTGCCTTGTATTTACCATTGTGTTCTTGTGGTAATGGACGAAGCCTGGCTCGTTCGATGACCATATCTTTCCATTGTCGTTTACATTGAAATATTCCTAACTGTGCAATTCTGAGGAGCTTTAATTAAAAAAGAAGCAGAAAGTTATTTAATTTTAAGGGCATCGATAATTTTTTTCTGAAAACAAAAACTTCAGAAGAAAATTCTCGGGGCTCCTAAGATTAGATTTCTGCTCCTTTAAAGATTAAAAGGAAAAAGAACACTCATCAACGGGGCTTGAGCCCCTCTGAAGTGCTTTAACTATTAAATTAAACGACGGCTGGGGGATACAGCCGCCGTTTAATTTGAATTGTTAGTTGTGCACTACCGCTAGACCACAGAGGCTTTTGGTAAGAAAGTACGGCAAAATTACACTAGAAATAGGTTGGCTCTCATTGTTCATTGAAACAATAGGTTGTAAATTGAGCTTGATTCTAGTTATTATCATTATAGCCGCAAACGCTGATCACACGTATTTCAAACTTTACTAGAACAAACTTGACACATTGTTGAATACGGTAACTGAAAATGACAAAATTACAAACACGCGAATGAGCATAAAATAACTTACATCGTATGAGTGAAAGTACTGGAAAACGACAAAGCGAGATAAACAAGGATACTTACAAGACGAATGTGACCAACCCAAAGACGAAAACATGAAACCCAGAGCTATATATGTAACGGTAATTTTCACAAACTAGACAACTAACCAAATAAATTACGCGCAACCAATATATATACGATATGCAAATAAATATAACAAGTACAAAACTGATAACTGACAAAGGACACTAATGGAAGACGAGAAAATAAACACCTAACACGAAACTATGAAACACCAACACTAACAAAAAATAATAGTACAAATTCTTGCGCCTACAATCATCCCTCTGAGACTTAAAATTCTTTTGTGTTCATCATGCATTGTTGCTTTCCTTTTTGGCAGGTTGCTTGAATTTAATTATTGAAGAAAGAAACAAGAGAAAGTTTTCAAGTCTCTATTTTTATTAATGTCAATAACAAGAATTGTCAAGTAAAGTAAGAAATGTACGTCTTACTCGAGCAGCGCAAATAGATGTTTACATTTTATTCAAGTAGTACTTTACTAGATAAAAAGCACTAAAACTTTTGTTGAAATAAATGTGTAAATCAACAATACTATACTGCGACTATCGTAGAAAATTTGCTATGTCTTGATTAGTTTAATAAATGTTTTGTAGTAGAAGTCCAAGTGAAAAGTCCTTAAAAAGTAGCAGTAGTAGTTTAAACAGGAACTCGTTCACGAATTTGTCAGTCTAGGTGTAGTGCAAGTGAAAACATTTTTTTGAATCTGTCAAAGAGTAGAAATAAAAATTCAGTTCGAAACTCTTTCAAAGATCAGTTTAGTTCTAATAATAGCACAAGTGAAGAGTTGTTTTAAAATCTGTCAAAGTCCAGCAGTAGAAGTGCAATCAAGTTTTAGTGCAATTGTAAAATCCACTCAAATTCTTTCAAAGTCCAGTAGTGGTAGTGCAATTGAAGAGTAGTTAAAAAATCAGTCTGTCTTCCAGTAGTAGTATTATAAAACAGTTGTTCTAAAAAACTGTCCGAGACCAGAAAATAAAGAGTAGTTGAAAAGTCAGTCAAAGTAATAGTAACACGAAAAAGTTGTTTAAAAAAAAGTAGTTAAACTCTAGCAGTAGAAGTAGCACAAATGAAACGTTGTTCAAAAACTCAGTCGAAATGTAGTAGTAATAACAAAAAGTCAGTAATATTTTAGCAGTAGTACTACTAAAAATTGTTCAACACGTTCAGTAGTTGTAATAGAATGTTGTTGAAAAATCAAAGTCACTCTTTCAGTAGTAGTAGTGATAGAAAGTTGTTGAAAAATCAGTCAATCTCTTTCAGTAGTAGCTACAGAAAGTTGTTGAAAAATAAAGTCACACTCTTAAGTACTACTAGTAGTTGTAGAATGTTGTTGAAAAACTTAAGTCAAACTCTTTCAGTAGTAGTATTAGAAAGTTGTTGAAAAATCAAACTCTTCAAAAGTATTAGCAGCTATAGAAAGTTGTTAAAAAATCGAAGACAAACTCTTTTAGTAGTAGTAATTACAGAATGTTGAAAAATCAAACTCTTTCAGTAGTTGTAGTAGTTATAGAAAGTTGTTAAAAAGTCACTCTGTAGTAGTAGCTATTGAAATTGTTGAAAAATCAAACTCTTTCAGTAGTTGTAGGAAATATAGAAAGTTGTTGAAAAATCAAACTCTTTCAGTAGTAATAGTAGAAAGTTGTTAAAAAGTCAAAGTCAAACTCTGTAGTAGCTATAGAAAGTTGATGCAAAATCAAAGTCAAACTCTTTCAGTAGTAGTAGCTATGGAAGGTTGTTGAAAAGTCAAACTTTTTCAGTACTAGTAAAGATTTGTGCAAAAATCAAAGTCTAGCGATTGGTTGTATTAATTATAAACGGTTGTTCACAAATTCTGTCAAAGTCTAGCATTACTACTAGTAATAAAAGTTGTTTAAAGTATTAGTCAAATTGCAGTAGTAATACTTATAAAAAGTTGTTCAAAACTGAGTAAGAGTCAACTCTTTCAGTATTAGTAGTACTAATAAAAAGGTGTTCAAAAATGAGTCAAAGTCTATTAGTAGTAGTAGTACTAATCAGTCAAAGTCTAGCTGTGGAAGTATTACCAATAAACAGTTGTTCAAACATCGGTCAATGTCCAGCAGTACTGAAAAGATGCTCAATAATCTGCCAATGTCAAGGTTTAGTGGTACTAATAAAAAGTTGTTCAAAAATCTGTCGAAATCTAGAATAAGTACAAGTAAAAGAGTTGTTAAAAAATCCACCAAATTGTGAAAAGTCGTTCTCTGGTCAGTCAAAGTGTTATTCTATTTCCATTAAAGGAAAGGGATTTGTAGTTTAGCTGCAGAGTCAGTAAGAAGAAATAATACACACCAAAAGCAATACGATATAAGTCGGTCTCGACTCAAAAAGTTTATTCATATATTTTCATTTATATTTCTAAATATCTTGAACTTCTTCCTCGTCAGGGTTCAAACCTTAAAGAGATAGAGAACAGATATTAATTTTGAAATATCACCACAACAATTGCATACAGAGTTTAAACTACAAATCTCACTTGGGAAAAATCTAACACTTGAAATTACTGTTGAATATGCCACATATATGTTTAATGTAATTCTGGTTTGCACGCTTCTCTCGGTCTCTCGTGTAATCATTTAACTCAAACGAATACTTGCTTCGTTCGAGTTTTGACCTTGAGTGGCAAAAGTTATTTCGGGCTAAAAAAGCTCACCTTGAAGTCAAAGAACATTTATTTAGAGGAGAGCAAATCAATTATAAAACAGCAGTTCAAACGGTTTTGCACATAAGTAGAAATTCCAATCAAGCGCATGTTAAACATTCCCACAAAGGTGATACCTGTCCTAGGTAAGCCTATTGTTTCTATAAACAATGGGAGCGAACCTACTTCTAATGTGATTTTGCCATGTTCTCTTACCAAAAGCCTCTGTGGCCTAGCGGTAGTGCACATTTAACAATTTAAATTAAACGGCGGCTGTATCCCCCAGCCGTCGTTTAATTTAGTAGTTAAAGCACTTCGGAGGGGCTCGGGCCCCGTTGGTCGGTATCTTCTTTCCTTTTAATCTTAAAAGAAGCAGAATTTTATTTTAAGATCTCCGATACCTTTTCCTAGGAATTCTTTTTTCCTTGAGAAAAAAAATTCCTAGAAAAAATTATCAGAGATCTTAAAATCAAAATATTCTCATTTAAAAAATGAGAGGAAATTTAGAACTTCAAATAAACAATGGCGGGGTAAAATAGCCGCCGCGTCGAGCGCTTAAGTCTTGCAAAAAAAAAAACCACGAGAACACAGAGGAAAGCAATTTCCAAACGTAAATAAGAAATCATTTACAATGACTGGGGAACGCTAACCCTATGCCATAATAATTGTAGCTAAAATTTCGGAACCCTCATAGAAAGAGGGCAAATTAGAAAAAATCAACCCAAATGGAAGGCTCAATAGAAAGACTATGAAAAATGTCAGTAATATTTCCAATTTTTCTGTCATTAAAAAAAATATATAAAAAGAAATCTATTGTCCGTAGATAAATACAGAGAAACACGCGCCATCAAACGAATTGCTTTTCCTCACTAAAGGCACTCACAGCTTTGGTTCCGAGGGTTCTCGTCTATTCTAAAAAACGTTCTAGTAGGATAAACACATCATTTGGAAAATAAACTACACTGGAATGAAATCTCATCATTCAGCAACTGAACAATGCTAAAGTCATTGGAAAAAACTCTGTTTAGTTTCCGTAAACGTAAATTTCACGCCAGAGCAAAGTAAGAGTACTTGTGAATTGATTAATTTCTGTTTTGTACTTAATTTTCACTTGAATATAAATTTTTAGCAACACCTTTGATTTAAATTTGTCTCTTTGTTCATTCACCTCGAAAATCTCTTCACAGTAAGAAAAAAAACAGATCGTTTAAATTGTAAGCGTTTGGTTCTTCACAAAGTTTGTTGTTCGAGAAAATTCTTTGCAGTACTTTCTGTTTTGCATTAATTATTTCACTTGAAAAGACTGGAATTCTTCAGAAACGTTTGTGACAATTGCTCCCTTTTGTTATAACAAGTATCTTTCTCGTCGAAAAAATCTTGGTGAGTTCTAATAATAGGAAAGTTGAGAAATCTCCTTTATGATACAAAAACTTAGTTTTTTTAATTATCATTTAAGACTACATCAACGTTTCTTGGGAAAGCATTTCTGTAATAAAAAAAATCACTTGTTTTACAAAACTTTTCATTTGACAAGTTTAATTTTAAAATACGATATCGCTCCTTTTGCCTTCACAAGTTGAAACATCAATCGTCATCACTTTCTGTTTTTGTTGATATGTGCTGCCATCAGAAACATACCGTCATCTTTCATGAAAGACCTCTTTATAAGAAGGTTGAAGATTGATTCTGAGCGCACATGACATTTAAAGAAAACTATTGAGTTAATTGGTAAAATTTCAGAGCGATGATTCACAACCTTTCTCGTCTATAGATGACTTTCCAAGCGTTCTTTTTTGTTTGTTTGTTTGTCTTTCCTTTTTGCACTATGCTTGCAGAAACTAATACGGCTAGTATTTTGGTATTTTTTCGGAGAAGAATGGCTCCAAATATTCCACCCTTCAGAGACACTCAATCGGGGGAACTATGAAACACACCATAAACTGCCACTTATAAGCGCTAGGCTGATACAACTTCGTAAAGGGTTTTAGGAGGGCTTATATCCGAGGGAGCTCATAACCGGAATAATTTAGCTTCAAAACAGCAGCATAAATCCAATTCATTTCAATAGATTTGGAACAGAATTAATTGTCTTGTTATGTAAAGAGTTCATGATTAGATAAGTAACAAACTTATTGTTCTGCAAACATTTTACAAGTTATCTGTTTGAAGTAGTACAGAGTTCCTGTCTCTCAAAACAAGACCAGAAAAGCCAGAGGGGGGCTTATGATCGGTGCTTTTTTGTTTACAGGCAGATGGGCCTACAACCAGGGGAACTTATAAGTGAGGGGGGGGGGGCTTATAAGCAGCAGTCTACACTATTTACATTTCTGGCGAAATTTTTCTTGCTCCTCTCGAAAAGTAAACAGAAAAGGGAAATTTGGCTTGTTCCCCAAGAAATACTGAACACTCGTCCGCTATCCAACAAATTTCTTTTCCTGACTAGTAGCAATCACATACAATACTTCGGGGTTTGAAGAATTTTTTTGCGATTTATCCAATACTTGAAAATAATAGACGCTTCACTGTGAAACTTATAATTTAAAGAAATTACAATTTTTCCAAGTAAGTATATGTTTCTAGGATATCCTCGATGTTCCTTGGAAAGTTTTAACGAATATCACATATTAACATTACTTAAAAACTTTCACTCACATTGTACGATCTCGAACAATCATTGGCACGGTTTGAAAGGTATATAATTTGACTTCAAACAGTAATAAGTTGTCTTCAATGTTTGATTAACTGAAAATAACCAAGGAAAATTTGTCATCTACTACGTCCATGAGCTTCGATTTAGGATGTAAATTGTATTCACATTTGGATCTACCACATATCTGAGTTACATCTGCGCCACATATTCGAGTTACATCTTTCTTGCCTAACCTTTGCGTTTTTGATGTAAAGATATCTCCAATTTCGATTGAGAAATCTCCCTGTTTTACGAAATTTCCCTCTGTCATTTTGCAAACTACTTTTCAAATTCCTCCGACACTGCACCTTATTTGTTTAAAACGTTTTCTACCATAAGAAAATCGTAATTTACAACTTTTTATTTTTCAGTCTTTAAATTTTTGCAACAACCCGCAATACTCCTGGGGCATAGCAATAAGAGGCAAAAAGACAAATACGACAACAAGAAAATATGTTTGCATCAACTTCATAATTTGTAATGGCTGAACCCATGGTAGCATTCGTTCTCCAAGTTACATTGTAATGGATTTCCATGAGTTATGCGTCCATCAATTCGAAACTTCAACATCCCCCCTGGCCAAAGTTGTGTTCAGTTAACCCACCCTAGGGCCGGATTTGATGATCAACTATCTCGTAAAAGGCAAAATTAGCCACCGTGACTTTCTACTCATTTACCAAGCTGTACAATCTAGACCTTATAGGACCTTTTCTTCTGAGCCAGCTTTTAGCAAAGGTGACTCTTTTTCCTTAAACATCTCCATATTAAAATATAAAACACGCTTATTCTGTTGGAGAGACTTGACGCTGCTGGTTCAAATTCCCTTCCCCCGGGGCACAGACGACAAACAAGGGCCCGTGGGTGGCCCGGGGTAGTGCCCGTGGGTGGCCCGGGGTGGGACGTTGAAGCTTCGAGTTGATCGGTGTATTACATTGTAGTGGTTTGTCTTGATTTACCAACAAAACAAAAAAATGAACAACTCACGTTTAGCTGAGTTCTTTACTTCACTTTGTTCGTTTCCTATTCCCTGTTTCCAGTCCTCTTTTCCAATGAGAGTTTTCATTTCCGTCTGTCTATTTTGCAAATCCAATAAATACATTGACAATTGTATTAATATGATTCATGAAAAATAACTTAAAGGTTGTTCTAATTAGTTCCAAATACTCAATAAATATCTAATCGTTTTAGATTCTGTTAGATCAACCATTAATTGAGCCCACTTCGCGTTTGAAACTTGTCTCCACACACTTGTCCAAAGGCGATTCATTTAGGAATTATCCATGAAATCCCTCTATACTTCTTCGTTTTCCCTCTTCAAATTTTGATTTTACATTTAAATTGAGTTTCCAGAGGTCCAGTTCCGTATCAGCAAAACAGATTTACGAGCGACTAACTAACAGCAAGCAAGGAGCAAGGAAGCAAAAAGAACGACTGTAACAATGCCCTAGCAACGAAATAGTTTGAAATTGTTCAAACTATGACAGCATACAATGCGTGTTTTGGCGGTGTTCTCTATGTTTAATTGTGATGAATTTCCTTAAACAATCAGTAAAACAACACAATGAAGAACTTACGTTTACCTTCGTTCTTCCATATCACTCCGTGCATTCCACATCTGTTCAACCTCAGTTTTTATTTCCTAATTGCGACTCTGTAAACCCAATGGATGCATTGATTAAGTAAAATGTCGGACAAAATTAAATGACCGTAAATGGCCTCTAGGGAAAGGACTCTTAGAATGGATGTGGAATGAGCCTGCTTAACTTTCTTTATCGCAAAGGTATTTCTTAGTAGATTTTATGCATTCCTTTGCGAATTTTATTACCCATCTCTATTGTCTTTTCCTTATTTTTTACTCACGGAAAGCAGTTTACGTGGGTTAGTACAAGGGCTGGCTTCTCCCTTTTCACGACCTTCGCGGCACATTTTCCATGTTTTCATTGTAGCTTGCTCATGCCAACCTTCCTTCATTCGTTTCAGCTACAAATTGTACATCCGACGAGTGAGACGATGTTATAAGTAAAGTTGAAGTACACGAGTTAAACGCAACGACTCAAGCAAAAAAGCCTATAAAAATTCTGCAAGTGATTCATTAGAGAGACGTGTTAAGACTGGACCTTCGAAGAAGAGAACAGCAAAAACGAATTTCTCTCTCACCTCATGAAACGTCGCTGGTACTCTGCAAAAGCACAGTCAAACATCTCCATATTTGGGCGGCTGAACCTGGTATAAGGAAACAGTCGTCTTAGAAGTACTCTTAGAAGTTACGAGCGCAGAAACCGGCAGAATATGTCAAGTTTCGGTTTGAAGAAGCAAAACATTGAAACTCCTTGAACAGACTTTGAACCGCGTGTCACACTGACCCAACGTGTGAGACAAACATGAATGAATAATTAATTTTAGAGACAAATTTATATTTCGCCCTTAGCTCCCTGCATAATTTGATCACAACAAGTTCTGAGGGTTTCATATTTGCCCCAATGTTTCTTGGTAGGATAACAGTTAAATGTGAAGGGAGGAAGGGTAATTGTTTGAGGAGATATTTGTCTGTTTATTAACTTTTAAAAAAGGTTTGCAGTACCCCATGAGGGGTGGGGAGAGTTGGAGAGAGGTGTCGGGGTAAGAATTAAGGGTAATGGTTCGCATAGTTTTATTTCTCCACAGTTTTAATATTACGTGATGCGTGATGCGTGAATTTCTTCGGAAAGACGGGCGTGATTCGTGAATTTATGAACCAACGAGAGGCGTGATTTGCCTCCTGAAATACGCGTGACCTCTGAATTTCTTCTTTCCTTTCCTGAAACCTTGTACACAAAAAGAGAGATCTGAAGTTGATTTTTTCTAGGATTCGTGCGTAAAACGGCAAATGAATTTAAAGTAATATGGGAAAACGAAGCGTTTAAGTTAAACCACAAAACTTACCGAGTTAATTTCTGATGTTCAAAGAAGACATCAACTAACTTTCATGTCAGGACAAACAGTCTCCTCAAGACCAATTCAGTTCTCTGCTCCCGGGAATGACTTAAATTAAAAAAAAAAAAAAAAAAAAAAAAAAAATGTAAAAACATATAAATATACAAACAAAAAGGCGAAAAAATGGCTACTTGCCGTAGGAATATTTATCTGTCGGAAACTAAAAATGTTACTGTAACAGTGCGTAAGAGGCTAACGTAACAATCGCTCAAAAGAGAAAATTAACAGTATGCAAGAGAGTAATGTAACAATCAATAATAATAAAAAAAAATCCTTACAAGACGCAGGAGACTAACGTAACAAGAAATAGCTTGCAAAGTGCGAGATCCTTAAAATGACAATCGATCAAAAGAGAAAGCAAACAATGCACGAGATAATAACGGAACAATCCATAACAAGAGAATCTCAAACAAGGCGTAAGATACTAACGAAACAATCCAGCAAAAGAGAGAGCTAACAGTGCGCGAGATAGTAACGCAACAGTTGTTCAAAAGAGAAAGCTAACAGTGCGCGAGACACTAACACTCCATAAAAAAGAGAAGAGTTTAAAGGCTGACGTTTCGAGCGTTAGCCCTTCGTTGGAGCGATTAGAGGAATTGTGGGTTGTATGTGGGTTGATATGCAGAAAAAGGAGAAAGCTAGACACTTCAATCTCCCCAATCATTCTAAGCAGCATATGACAGTTTGCGGCCTTTCCCTACGTCTAGGCAGTTCCGAAAGCCGCAAAACTCTAGAAAAAAAAATTTTCTTTCCATAGGCACCCTTAATCCCCACAGTATCAACGAGCGCTTTTCATTCAACTAATTTATTCTAGTTTCCTCGTCACCATATTCTCACCAACAGCGTAGCTCCATTTTCTGCATGTAAACCCACACAACCCTCAATTCCTCAAATCGCTCTGACGAAGGGCTAACGCTCGAAACTTCAGCCTTTAAACTCTTTGCGGTGGCCAATTTACGTAATCAATACAGTCGATAACCCTAAATTACCCTGTTATACTCTCCCACCGACGCAGCACCACAGTTTCTTTAGAAACTTACCCCCCATAGAAAGAGAATCCTTACAGTACGCAAGATGTTAACGTAACAATCGATAAAAAGAGAGTATTTCGATCAAAAGAGAAACTTAAAATTACACGGGCTACTAAATGATAATCTATCCAAAGAGCAAGCTTACAATAAGCGAGAAACAAACGGAACAATTGAACAGCGTTCGAACACTTGTAGTCTTGTCTTTTGAAAACACAAAGCTACAAGTGCGCAAGATAGCAACAATCATCAAGAGAGAATCCTAATAGTGCGCAAGAAACTACCGTAATAATCCATGAAAAAGAATCCTTACAGTACGGGATACTAACATAAGAATCGATCAAAAAAGAAAGCTAACAGCGTGCGAGATCCTTAAATAACAATCATTCAAAAGAGAAAGCTAGAGTTGTGCAAGAAACTAATGGAAAAATCGATCGAAAGAGAATCCAAACAGCACGTGAGATAACAAAGTAACAATCCAAAGCAAAATAATCTTGACAGCGTACTAGGTACTAACGTAACAATCCATCAAAAGAGAATATCAACAATGCCCGAGATACTAACGTAATATTCCATCAAAAGAGAATCCAAACCGTGCGCGAGATACTAACGTAACAATCGACCAAAAGAGAAAGTGAACAGTGCGCGAGACATATCTTATTGGACGTTTTGGTGTGTAGGATCGCTGGGTATTTTACGAGCTGTGCCGTATTGGAAAAGCGAAACTGATAAAGAAGCGTAGCACACGCGGCCGACCGGTTAAAAAAGTTTTTTTTGTTGAATGTTGCCATTCGAGGCTTTGATCACTTTCTTTACAATACCACTCAGCTGAACAGTTTTTCCGACACAGGTGCGGCAACACGAGGACAACGTATAACTGATTTACCTCAAATTGAACTGAAGTAACAGTTCAGAACTGTTACTTCAGCTCACAGTCTTAGAGAAACTTAAAAGAAAAAGCTATACGTGTGCGAGACACTAACGGAACAATCCATCGAAAGAGAAAGCCAACAGTGGGCGAGTTATTAACGTAAAAAGAGAATCCTTACAGTGAGGGAGATACTAACGTAACAATCCATAAAAATAAGATCCTTAGATTGTGCGAGATTCCTAAGTAACAATCCACAAAAAGAGAATTCTTAAAATGCGCGAGATACTGACCACTCCCCCCCCCACCACCACCGCAACGAGCAGTCCCTCGCAGATAATTACAGTTCTGAAGTGAATATGATTGTAGAGATCAGTCGACTATGAGGTCTTAGAAGGAGTTGAGAAAAACCCCTCAGACCTCCACCACGCTTGAGCTTATAGGCTTGTGCAGACGGGGTGTAACCAATGCTGTACTTAAATACATGTACTTATTAATTCATTGAATTTTTCACCATTCCTTGAATACACCAACAGAGCAGTATTAAAAATCATTTTTCTAGTGAGACTGATGCCTATTACCATGCCAGGTACACCACTGAGATAGCAGCCTTTTTCATCCGAGCTGAATTATTCTACGTGGCAGCAGGGACGGCTCCAAACTTGAATCATATCATGTCTCCTGACACTTGGTGAGCGTTCTCAATCTGTGATATAAAAAATAAGTTATTTTTTCTGGTAATTGCTCAATGGAATATGCAAGAGTTTAGGTATCACTAAAAGGGAAACAATGCCAGAACAAGAATTTCTACTTAAAGAAGCTATATCAAAGTTACTGTATCCCGAAAAATCTAGGCTAGAATTTTTCAACATTCACACTTCCAGTGACCAAAACAGTTTACTTTTCCTTTTTTTTTTTTTTTGGAGGAGGGGGGGGGAACCAAGTCTTTGCATCACAAGCACAGGTCGAGACCAAGGAAGAGATATTTTGGGTGAAACTGACTCCATAAGGTTCAGCTCTTAGCCACCCATCTCTTACACAAAGTCCACTCCTGTTCAGGGCATAAATATAGTCCTGTGGCCGAAGCAATCAACACATTCACTGCTTTTCCTTTTCCTTTTATTTTTGTGTGGGACTAAGTCATTGCATCACAGACTGAGACTGGGGAAGAAATTTGTTTGGTGAAACTAACTCCTTTATGGGTCAGCTCTAAGCCACCCATCTCTAATGCAAAGTCCACTCTCTGTTCAGTGCACAAAGACAGTCCAGTGGCTGACACAAATACATTCACTGCCTTTCCTTTTTTTTTGTGGGACCAAGTCTTTGCATCACATATTAAGACTAAGTAAGAGATTTGTGAAATGCATTTGTCAATACAACAAGGGAAAAGCTTGACATAAGTAAATGAAGCATAAACATGAGACTAATTTGTTACAAAAGTTCAAACTATTTTCCTTACCAAATCTTTTCTTGCAGTAAACTTAGAATAAAATAGATCTATTTCTTTGAAATTCCTAACAGGATACAGGTAAAGGCCTAAAATATTGGAAGTTACAAGGAAGTTACAAAGTCCATATCGATGGAAGAAAACCTCCTAGGGGGTACTGTAGGGGGTTTAAATAGATAAACCATCCATAGGGGGGATATGGACACCATTTTCTGGAGCAAAGCAATGAGTAAAGAATAATTTGGTCTTATCAACTGGGTTGAGAATGTACTGTAGTTTCTCAGTTGTAAGGCACACGGCTTTTTCAAGAAAATTCTGTCTTTGGTTGGAAAGTTAGTGCTGAAATTGAGGTGCATCTTATAGCCAAGTTTTTTTGCACAACAAAATCTTAAAATCACAATTTTAGCTTGGGGTGTGTCTTATAACTGAGTGCACCTTATAACCAAGAAACTATGGTAAATTTTCCTCTGTATAAAAAGGATGGGTTGAAATGTCAGCTTTAAATAAAGCTTTAAAAACTCTTTCTGGAGGCTAATTTACATTATCAACTCAGTTATCAAAACCAAATCATCTTGTAATACCCCCATTGATGCAGCCATTACTACCTTTATTCATATGCAATGATTTCATCTGTTAGACAATCAGTTAACCTTTCATATAAATACAACACTTTCTATGGGTTAATTTTGTTACAACCCAAAATTTAAAAGCTTCTCTATTTGTCTTCTTCAAATTAATTGGAGCTGGCAAGTCTAATTGTGACAATTAATTCATATCAAATAAAATATCACAGGTTTTCTTCATCAGTGAATGCATAGGAATCCTTAAGAACTGAACAGTCACCCATGTAGGTTTAATCTTGCTGCCGACTTGTATTTTGTACAAAGTATAAAAGCGTCTACGTCTTACCAGGACAGATGTAAACAAATCTTTCTTATCCAATTGTCTGGAAACTTCTGTGTCCTATACGTATCCTGCAGACAGAATAGAGTAGACAAGTTATTATTCTCATGTTTCTAACGAAGTATTATTAGAACACTTGTTACAGTTGGGTATAATAATCAGTCTAGGTAAGTCATGTTTAGGGAATTATTATCTACTCAATACATCTTATGTTAAATACATAAGGTAAGGTCCATAATAATTCCCCATACATGACGTACTCACCATAAGAGTTGATTCCACTGGTCAGTGGACTTTATCGCGGGCTATAGATTCTGGCGCAACAAAATGGCTGATCTTTGACTGTCTATTTGCCTGAGAGCAAAGCGAGTGTTCTCTTCTTGATTGTATCATGTGATACAAAGAAAGCTTGCTAGATTGATCTACTGTATGAACTCGTGAGTATTTTCGTAGCTTTTAAGGGTTAAGGGTAGTAATTGCCTAATAATTTTTTTGCCACTATTCGGACGGTAGCCATTGTAATGTTACAACAAATTCGCATGTTTAAAGCTCAGACTTGCGATAATGATGAATCGTTGATCGACGTTCTTTCTAAAGTTTGAAAATTTGTGTTTTTCAAATGTGTACGTCTATTTACACGATGATCCATTCCGAACTGTGGAGGTCTTGTAATAAAATTTTAGATCGTGGCCCACCCAACAAGAAATTGAATTAGCTCATATTGATAGTAAGGCGCTGATTCGTAGAACACTTACAGGGTAGCCTATCTATTAGACACGAAATTCTATAGGCCTAGAAGTGGATTAGGTGGATGCTTTCTGGTCAAAACGGTGATTAATTGAAAGTGACATCAGTGAGATTGATTCCACTGAGTCTTGAAGGAAAATTATTACACGATAATTCTACCAAGTTTGCAGCAACTTTTTTATATATCCATATACGTTTTGTAACCTTTACTGATCACGATTAATTTGACAGGCACATTTATAAAAATGCCATCCTGCGATTTGGATGTGTGTGACATTGAGGATGCTGTGAAAAAAGATGATCTTACCCCTAATGATCGGATCACTCCTAGGGGAGCTGTTCTACCAAAGGCAAGAGTAAAATCGACAAGGAACAACTTAAATGAATTGCCTGTGGGAGATAGTATTATACCGGGAACACAGAAAATTTACATCAGAACTTGGGGATGCTCCCACAATAACAGTGATGGAGAATACATGGCTGGGCAGCTTGCAGCATATGGATATAAAATAACAGGTTCTGTAATGATTCTTTCACCAGCTACCACAGTACATGGTTATATACATGTATAAGGTTGATTGACAGTTGTGAAAAAGAGAAAGGTTAAATGGTAACAGAAATACAGATCTTGTAGACTATGATCTTCTGACTGAGTAAATGTCTGAGTAGGTCTGGGTAAAGGTCTGTAGAAGATAGTTGTTGCTGACATTGAATCAGTGCATGCAGCATTTATGAAAGTGATATACTGTACTTTGGTTGTACATTATTGCTGATTAAATGTTCTGAAAATTCAATGAAATATTGGTATAGAATATTTGGGCTTAGAACTTTAAAGTACTCTGAACCATCAAGTGAGTCTCAGCTGAAACAATTTCCTTGCCTTGTTATATGTAGTTATAATAGTTGTTTTTGTTTTGTTTTGTTTCTTAGATGATTCTGAAGCAGCTGATCTGTGGCTACTGAACAGTTGCACAGTGAAAAACCCTTCAGAGGATAACTTTCGGAATGCCATCAAGAGGGCTCAAGAGCTAGACAAACATTTGGTTGTAGCAGGCTGTGTACCACAAGGCCAGCCCAAACACCAGTCAATTAAAGGAATTAGTGTGATTGGGGTAAGTTCACTGAAATTATATACAAGCTAACTGTCTTGGCCTATCTGATAGTCTCTTGCAGGGAATATATAAATTGTCTTCCAAAATTTACTGGATTTTGGATCATTTTCACCACAAAAGAAGGGCAATCGAGTGAATTTTGTTGAAAGGAAAAATAGTTTGTTTTTATTCAATGATATGAAGTAGTTTTTTTTTTTTAAGTTTCTGATTCTCAAGTTTTGAGTAACTTTGGTGACTTTTAGCTTGTGGAGAGAGACTGGGATGAAGAAAACAATTAAGAATGTTTTTTTCAAGTGATGAATTAATTCCCTGCAGAGAGAAAAAACCTTCAAGGTATAGTGAATGTAAACTTGTTGACAAATTTTAAGACAACTTGACTTGCAATGCCAGTATTATTTTATCTTAAATTAATACTTCATTTAGCCCCTCTTAAGGAAAATGACATCAACATCTGTATTTTTCCTTCTGTGGTGGAAAAACTGTGACAGTGACCTTTTTGCTCTAATTTTGATTAATATTTTCAGGTTCAACAAATTGACAGGGTGGTGGAGGTGGTAGAAGAAACATTAAAAGGTGAAGCAAGCTTCTTAGCATTTCATATGTTTGATTCCAACTTATATCCTTAATTTACATGGTATGATGATTGTACACATTGAACATTGTGAAAATACATGAAACTACTTGTAAATCAGGTAGACATTTTGATTCCAACCATCAATTTTTTTCAATTTCAATGCTTTGTAGGTCATACAGTTCGACTTCTTGGTCAGAAGAAAGTTGGTGGAAAGAAAACTGGGGGAGCTCCTCTGGATCTCCCAAAAATCCGAAAAAATCCTTTGATAGAAATTATAGCCATCAACACTGGGTGAGTAAAATGATACATACATGAAAGAAGAGCCCCATTGACCCTTAAACTCTCAAGATTTGGTTTTTAATTCTCCTTTCTAGCTGCTACACATTTCCTTTTAAATTTTATAGTGTATGTAGTTACAAGAATTTTGTATCAGATCAAGATAACAACTTATACCAGATGAGTTTGAGTATTCTCATGGCTTGTTTGCCAGATGATGTATGAAGTTACATGTTGCTCATTTCTGGGAGTTAATGCATTAGTCCTTTTATTTTATCTTAATGCTACAAGGCATCCCATAAAGTTTGGTGTGGGTGAATGATTAACTTCTCTCAGACATTTGCATTTTTTTATGATTAATCAGAATTGTTGTCACAGATGAAGCAATTGCCAGTTTTCAGAAAAGTCATATGGTGTTTTGATTCAAAAGAAGGCACTAGTTTTAAGAGGGCTCTTAATTTGATGCATTTACTTGTGCAAGAAGCACAGCCATACACACCCTGTACATACTTAGTTGATATTAATTTTGATAATGATATGATAATAATATTGGTACATGTCCTTCGTTAAAGGTGCTTGAACCAGTGCACTTACTGCAAAACTAAGCATGCACGAGGTGATCTGGGCAGTTATCCTCCTGAAGAGATTGTTGAAAGGGCCAAGCAAGCCTTTGAAGGTAAAAGAAAGTCTGTCATATCATTTTTGTTTTGTTTTGTTTTGTTTTGTTTTTTTTTAATCTTGTACATAGTGTTCTATATCATATTATATAATAAGCTCAGTTATCACGCGTTTTGATTGGTTCTCACTTATGATCTATTGGAGGACAGACATACAGATGACATCATCATTAAAACTTTTTAAAATTCTTTATAATTAGATTCCAAGTTGCAGTGCGTCTGTTCAGTAATAGATCACAGAGGACGTCAAAATGTGGTAAGAACATCAGTGACACACTCAGCTGCGCCTCGTGTGCCACTTTTTTGTTCTTACCACATTTTGATGTCATCTGTGATCTATTACTGAACAGACCCACGGCAACTTGGAATCTATTTGTTAAATTGTACATACCTACATATAAAATCAAAAATACTTGGTTTGTAAGTCTTGCATAGGAATTTTCATTCAATTTCTGAATATTAAATTTGTGTTGCAAATCACCTCAAATTTGCTTCCTTCAGAGGGAGTTGTAGAACTTTGGTTGACCAGTGAAGACACAGGAGCTTATGGCAAAGATATTGGAGTGACATTACCTGAGTTGCTATGGCAACTTGTAGAGGTAATTCCAGAAGGGGCTATGTTGAGGATTGGAATGACAAACCCACCCTATATTCTGGAACACTTGGAGGTAAATGCAGTATGACTTGTTAGTCTAGGTGCATGTAGCCAACATGAAGGTGGTCAGCCAACCTTCCCCACCCACCCCTTCAAGCAATTTTTTCAGGTTACTGGGTCTGTAAAATCCAGACTGGACAGGGACAGTTTCAAGGTAAACTTTTTTACTCAGAACTAAATACTAATTACAGTTACCCAGCCAAAGCTGAAACACAAGTGTGTTTCCTGAGTTCAGGAAACAGAACCACTACACCATGTTACAGTTTGTACAGTTGAGAAAAAATGCATGTACCATTGTTTGTGTCATTTTTTGCAGTTGAGAAAATCATACTGTTGTTGGTGACATTCATAAGCTCATGCATGTGTATGCAGTTTTCTGTCACTCCTTATGTCCAGTGATTGATGACACAGTTTAACAATATTTTTTCTCCTTCTTCTCAGGAAATGGCAAAGATATTGAACCATCCCCGTGTTTACAGTTTTCTGCATGTTCCTGTCCAGAGTGCATCAGACAATGTTCTCAGTGACATGAAAAGAGAGTATTGTGCTGATGATTTTCGTCATGTTGTCGATTTCTTAAGAGAAAAGTAAGTCCACATTATGAATATAATTAAGAAACCCTGTTTCTATAGGCAAACCTTTTTTGTAAAGTAAGAGTTACGCATGGATGCATTCTCTGACAAGTTTTTATTTGGCCATTCATCTGCAGTCTAGTCTGTGTGGGAGATATGCTAGGATTTCCTCTTAAACTGCAGTAGTTCTTTAGTATTATTTTGAAAAGGATTTATTAATTTTCTTTAGGATAACTTTTTAAATTATAAGGCACACTATGGTTAGGTTTGTGATGAGGATTTACTAGTTCCCTGGTGCCTTAAATTTAAGAAGTCTTTACACATTTGGTTCCAGTGATTAAGAAAAATTGCCATGGAATTCCTTTTTTGTCATCTAGATGAGATGATACATCCTAGGGGTTTCCTTATATATGCATTTGTTAATGATATTGAAAGATAGAAAGAGTGGACAAAGCATCACTTTGTTTTGAGCAAAGTATCACCATCACACCATATGTATTGAATTTTTAGGGGACCTTTATATATCTCAGGAGTGCTGCAAAAGGGTGAAGGAATTTTACACCAAGTTTGATTTTTTTTTAAAAAAAAGAAAGATACAATTGATCAAATGATTGCTACCAATAATGGAGAAACAGTTTATGTGGCATACAACTGAATTTAAACTGAATGTAAGTGACAATTATGTAGGACAACATTTCTGTCATGAGATTACCAAGGAAACTGGTCTAGGAAAATGAAGAGAGATCGCAAATTCTACAAAATCCCTTCTCAAGCTTCGCATTGAAGCTATTGAAAATGACCAAAAACATGATTTTGCTGGAATAACAAAGAAAGAAATTTTGTTGTTGAATAATTTTTTTTTTCATAATTTTGAAACCAACTTCTTAATCATAAGTCAAGGGAAATTTCAAAAAAGAAAATCTGGATTTTTTCATGTTGTTAGCTCAAAAGAGTGTGAGCTCAGAGTTAAAGCTTTTGAATCCAATCTTCAGGGTACCAGGGGTAACCATAGCAACAGACGTGATCTGTGGCTTTCCTACAGAGACTTGGGAGGACTTTCAGGAGACTGTGGCTCTAGTTGATCAATACAAGTTCCCCAGTCTGTTTATTAATCAGTTTTATCCTCGCCCTGGGACACCTGCTGCAAGGATGAAAAGACTACCTACAGAAGAGGTACAGTGCAATGACTTCTGCTCCCAGCAGCGGCCAGGGATTTTCTTTCATGCTAATTTGGTATTGAATTTTAAAATGTTCAGGTTAAGAAGAGAACAAGAGAAATATCCAAAGTCTTCCACAGCTACCATCCGTATGATCACAAGGTTGGCATGTCTTAAGCGTTGACCCTTTTGCTGCTTCTTTTTTTTTGTTTTTGTTTGTTTGTTTCGTTATCTTGCTTATGTTTGTTTGTTTTTTTTTTGTTTGTTTTATGTGGTATAGTAAAGAGCCCGATGCAGTGGTTTTTATTGTATTCTTTTGTTTTTGTTAAGGTGGGTGAGCATCAAACAGTCCTGATAACAGAAGACGCAAAGGATCAAGCTCACTTTGTCGGTCACAACAAATATTATGATCAGGTAAGTGTTACTCATTACCTAGTCTCTCGGGTTGGCCAACTAAGTTACTGGTCAAACGGGTCTTTTCCTTACCTCAAAGACTTTCCTCCTAGCGTGTATTGTAAACGTTAGCCCTTGATGCCTTTGATGTCATCATCTTTCCTTGTATGTGGTGTTTGCTGCTTATGGCTTGTAACTCTTCAATCCTTTGTCAATTGTGTCGTGGTAACTCTTCATCGTTGCTACTCGTGTCATCTTCGGCTCTCTTAGGTTGTCGATTTTTCGTTACTGGTGGTTGTCTGAGAGGCTGAACTTTTCAGATGCCCTTAAAGTGTATCGTCGATTAATCACTTTGTTTCGCTTTTTTTTCCTGAAAACAGAAACTTAACCACTTCTTGCTCTTATTTTAGGTACTCATTCACAAAAGTGAGGGTGATCTCATGGGTAAAATGGTACAAGTAGAAATCACATCTGCAGGAGAGCACTTTCAAATGGCACGTGTCCTAAGCCATACCGAAGTTCATTCACCTGGTCTGGTCGAGCCGTTACCAAAAGGTGCTGTCAGCGGTGTTCGCACTACGCTCACGCCCGAAAGAGTCGTTCAAGGTCAAGCAAGTCGTTGGCAGCAATGGCAAAGAGCTGCAGTGGTTGTACTTCTTGCAGTTGTTGTAGCGGATGTTTTGAGAATTTTGTATTTATGGACCAGTCAGTGAAATTGTGATGAAATAGACAATTTAAAAGAAAAATGGGGAAAAAATTTAAAACAAAAAAGTTACAACCTTTTTTCCAAGGTTCACTATTTATATCGACAAAATAGCCGTTGCCTACTCAAAAATGATGAAAAGGATCACTAAATGTAGATTATTTCTGCCTTTGCGAATCACCGAGGCGGTTGATGCGTGTGGTTGGAAAAAAGCTAATAAGTTAATTCCTTGATCAATTGCGTATACGAGTAGAAAACTTGTCCTCAGGAAATGATTCTGATTTACCAACTTCCTAACTCTGATGTTGGACAATAAAAAAAACAGTGAGTAAAAGCAATATGTTTTGTATTTCAAGCGAGTTCTATAAGGATTATTAATGAACCAACGCCCTGTTTCAGTCCTGGTGAAACATCGCCATCTCTCATAACCATAATTCGATATATACACCTGTGGTTACTCAGTTCCCTTTTCTAATCGTTGCACATATATTTCAACTCTCATACAAGGATAAACCCAGTGCGTGACAGGATAAAACCGAAAAAATCTTGCTCGAGTTGGGCTGCGAATCAAATGTTGGACAACGCTGGTTCTATCCGTGTTTGCTCCAAATATCTACGGTAAAAGAAAAGTACAGTTTCAACAGTAGCTACCGTTGTTTTCAAACTGATCTTACGAGGAAATGAGTCGTAATTTTTTTAAAAGAAGTTACGAATATTCGCTTAATCAAAGAAGCACTAAAATTTTATTAAATCGTCAATTCAATAAACACCCTAGGAGAAAAATCACAGGTTGAAAAGGAAAATCTTGACCTGATTTTCTTTCTGAACTTCACTTTTCTACCGTGACTGAGTAAAATACGCTAACGGAAGAGTAAGATATTTCTCTTTCAGATCAGTACGGTGATTCTTTTTTCCTCCCGTGTTTTCGACAAGTATCAATTACAGGTGGTGCAGGGGGTTTGTACTTCGTACTGAGTTCTTTCATTTTCTGTAATCGTAAAATCAGTTAAATGTTTCTTCTTTACCTTCATTTTATTGAACTCTGTGTACACCATCCAGTTTACCCCATCAATGGAGAAATACAGTTTGTAGCTTGTGATATATGATCCGGTGAGTTTCCCTTGCGTTGCCACAGCACATATGGAGTGGACCTCTCCCATGTCGATTTGAAGGTGGTCTCCTCTGTCATTTTTGGTCCTAGCACACCATCCTCCGCGGCCTCTTGATCCATTCAGACGTCCATAAAAGGCAAAGTACTTATCATAGTGTGAGCTTGATGACATCCTAGCGTCAGGTATCTTATTTATGTCAGCCACTCCCACCGGTCTACAAGCCAGGACTGAGAATACAGTTAAGGATTTAAGTCAGCAAATCGTGAGAGAGACGAGTATGCCCTTAACAAGAGCACGTATCAAAACTTGTATAGAAATCAAACATTTCTGTCTACTTTCAAATTATGGAGTGGAAGGTACGGAGAAAATTAACTGATCTCTTGGATAGGTGGAATGAGCAGCGAGCCGGCAGAAACAAAAATATTGGAACGAGGCTCGACTGAATTCCCATCAGAGAGAAAGTTTCCTACGATAAGGAAAGTTAAATTAGAAAATATCATTAGCTAAGAGGCCTAACACAGCATACCTGAAAGCTGTACGGAAGTGGAAGTTGTAAATATACCAGCTGAAGACGCCGCACAAATATATTTACCAGCATCCTGAGATTTCACTTCCAAAGTTTAAGTGTTCCATTGATGCTAACATTCGATCTTCCAAGTGGTAATGCACCGTTTTCCTTCAGCCAGGATACTTTGGGTTTTGGTTCACCCTTAGCTTCACAGCGTAAGCTAACAGTTTGACCATGATTTACAGAAAGCTGTGGAGGTGGTCTGACAGTGATTACTGGATCGTCAACTACGACAAGATGCGTTATGGCCACAGCGACTCCAATCTTGTTAGTAGCCCTGCACTGATAAAATCCCGAATCTTCCTTATGAACGTTAACGATCGACAGTTGTCCGTCACTGATGTCTCTCATACGTGGATGTAAGTCAGGGACTGATATCTTTGTCCAAACAATCTTTGCAGCTGGAAAACTGGCAACAGCACACTTCGGAAGCATGATTGTGTTGCCAACTGCCACATAGGAAGGGCCCGGCTTGAGGGAAATTTTCGGCGAGGCTGATTTAATAAAATGAATTTATAAATCAAAATTTCTACAAATATCATGTTTTCATTAAGAAATGTGCAGCTTTTCAAGGAACGCCGAATTTTTTGTGAATATGCACGCAACCGCCAATGAATGATAGACAAGACTACACGCCAAACAATGTTAAAGAAAAACCCGTGGCAATTTCCCACGAGTCTCTTTTATCCTTGTTTGGGAATAAAATGTGTAAGTGCACTGTGTGGCATGGTAACCCTTAAACTCCTAAGATTGAAAAGCATCTAAAATCTCTCAAAGTACTAAGGTCTTGTAAATAAAGGAAAAAATCGCAAACTTAAGTAGCTCTTGATTGTTGGACTAATGCTCCTTGAAAGGACCACAGGAATTGTAGGGAGAACAGCATCGAGGAAATGCACACTGATGTTAGGTTATTTGACAATTATTTGCCGAAAGCGAAGCCAGTTGAATAATCCCCTCGACTTCGTCTTAGGGATTATTCAACAATTTTCACTGCGCCTGAGGCGAATAATTGTTTTAGTATAATTGCTTAGGTGCTTATGATTTCTGTTGTAAATATTCGTTTTGACGTTGAAACCATTCTGTTTCAACTGTTTTTATTACACTTCAGCGAGATGAGCAGCGACTTTCCACTAGAATTTTATAGGTTGATATAATTCAATTGGCAAAAACTTCATGTCTTTCTTTTGAAAAATGCTACTACAGCATCTTGCGTGCTCTTCATGATCGAATTTTCTTTTACCGCGTTCATCACTTCCTCTGTAATACTGACAAAACGCGAGGCAGCAATATTTTAACTTAACGCTCTTGCTGTAATCACTTCGCGCAAGGTGATTATAGCGAGCGAACAGAGCGCACGCATCTGTATAATCACAGGAGCAATTATACTAAAAAGGGTTAAAGGCTTAAAAGGGAGTAATGTTTGCTTCCTCAAGCCACTGCACTTACATTAAAGTAACTCTCACTTACTTTGAACCACCACTTGGGTTTCATCATTTCCAAGAACATTGTTTCCTACACACTTGTATGTGCCGGTGTCTTCTGCGCGCACATCATGTATCTGCATCACTCCGTCAGCGGTTGTCTTGATCCTGTTTCTAGGTAACGATCCCGTCGTCTTTGACCAAGATAGCTGAGGTTTGGGATTTCCTGTGGCGGAACAGGTAAGCGAGACAGTGTCGAATTCATTGACTGTTATTTGTGAAGAAGAAATTATCACTTTAGGGGCGGAAATATATTCTCCTGGTTCGCCTTTATTCCCTGGGATACCCGGCGTCCCGATGTCTCCTTTGATGCCTTTTTCTCCTCGTATTCCTGGTGGTCCATGCTTACCAACTCTACCAGGCTGCCCCATCATTCCTTGTAATCCCCTTTTGCCCACTCTTCCTCGGTTGCCCTTGTCACCCTTGGGTCCAGCTCTCCCTGGTGGTCCCTGTGGCCCTGCTGGGCAAACGTTTCGGCGTTTTCCATTTCTTTCGCAAATCTTCATACGTAAAGTCACGATGTTCTTTAAAAGTTCCATCATATCAGTCGTCTCATTGACCAGCACTTCTTGGGAATCTTTGATGTAAAAAGCCTGCGTCTTTCCGAAAATCTGCAACTCAAATATTGTTATGATTAGGAAATTATCAATTCTGGCATCCAATAAAGCCGGGGGAAAGTCATCGTGAAATTTGTGTGAAATTAATTTCAAAGATTTCTAAGAGTCAGATGAGAAAAATAGATGCTCAGCTAAAAATGAAAAGGTGATCTAAAATTTTGCCGCGAGCTAGGGAACCAAGGAAAAATTATCTGTTTTTAGACGTGGTTCACTTGTACATTGAAATAAAATACATATTTTGTCTACTTCCACTGGAATCGTAATTGTATCGCACTTATTTTAAGTGCAAAAGTGTAATCAGGTACTGCGAGGGTCAGACAAGTGTGAGAATAACAGCCTCTGTATGTATCGAATTCTTTGAAAACGCAAACTTCATTATGTCCATTATGTTTGGCTCAAAGAACTTAAGTTTGTCTCGATATTAATGTTCAAAACATTTTCCCATCTCTCACATCAGAACTTATCCATCTTAACCGTAAGAAATGAAATGTGAGCGTGGAGTAACGAGCATGATCTTTGCGAAATTTTTATAAAGCCCTCAGTCCTCGTGAATATAATCCCATCAATGTTTGTTACTATTTTACCATGTTTACCCCCACGTTGGTCGTTAACGACATAAGCCAACGACACAGATTCAGCCATTTTACTTGTTCAAGCATGACAGACCTTCGAGTTCAAGTTCTCCTTTGCCCTCTCATATTTCATCATAGCGACGACTTCCTCGACAGCTTCCAACCTCCGATCGTAAACATCAAACTTCAGTTCGATTCTAACGAATCCCGCGAAATAAAGAACTAAATAGAAAATAGAAATCAATGTGCCTGAGCTAAGAGAAGAAGCAGTATCCTTAAGAGATATTTTGAACGCGACTGAAAGTCGAGAAGAGTGACCCGATAGAATTAGGAATGTGCTACTGAAACGTCATAAGGTCACGAATTTAAGTGAAACTCGACGCTGTTTTTCTTGAGCTGAGGCACAGAAGATATTTGTTCACAGATCGAAACTTCTAGACTAGCTTGAACAAACACCAGACTTCACACGAGGATGGGCGAAGGGTGGAATAAGAAGACTAGTCTCTTTTAGCCATCTTTTGTGTTTCCTCATTTAAATGAGTTATATACCATAGAGACAATTACTGGTGTTAGCCTCGTTATAGACTCTCGTGCGCTGGGCCAGAAAAACAGATTCAATTTCCTGGTATATTTTTTTGATCTAGTCATTATCTGCCAACCCTTTTCGTCGGCTACCTTACGCTGGAAAAAAATTTAATGCGTTCTTACAGAGGTGATTCTCTTAGTGATAATCAGCAATGGTATCGCACGTACACAACGGAATGTAATGCGCATTTCACCGCCCCTTCTGCCTCGCTTTTCCTCATTTAGGCCAGCGGATCATAAAAGTAGTTCAAAGTCGCCAATCAGTGATTATATTATTGCAACGGATAAATAACCAAAAGAATGGCTGACACAAATTTCTTTCTCAGTTACTTCCTATTGGTCCGCAAAACCTGTATTCTTTCCAAGCGGATTCTCACAGTGGTTACTTTCGGCAGA